ATATATATATATTATATATATATATATATATATATATATATATATATATATATATATATATATATATATATATATATATATATATATATATATATATATATATATATATATGAGCTCAGTAAATATGTATATAATAGCGTGTGTAAGAGAGGATAACAAAAGAGAGCACTGTGACCTTCTCTGACCTTTAAGAACCCGGGTTAAAAGGTCAAGGCCGCCAGTGTAGCGGGCATTTTTCTCCTAGTACAGACGCGAGTAGGAGGAGCGAGTGTGGGACGTGTACTCTCTGCAGTGAATTTTTTTCCTTGGGTGGTGTAGAGTGCTTGTGTAGAGAAGGTGTAGCTCTCTACACCCTGTGTGCATGGCTCACAGTCTTTATAGCATAGGTGTAGCGGAATGGGGGGGGGGGGGGGGGAGGATGCTTGTGTGTGTGTGTAAACTGGGGTTGTTTGGTGTGTGTGTGGTGGTGGTGGGGGGGGGGGGGGGGGGGGGTTGTCAGCCATGTGCAATTTAATTTTGACAAATATCGGGCTTTGAGTCATGATAATAATAATTGTTTCCAGATGTGTCAGCTGGACGATGTTGAAATGGCACAGTCTGAGTATAAGAAAGATGTGAGTCATGATTAGTAGGACTCATAAGTCATGACTGTGAGTGACTGTGATGTGCAGGAGACAACAACTACCTCACTGTGAACTACACCAACACACACACAGTAACACAACAACTACCACTGTAATCCCAGGATTACAATCTTCCCAAATGAAGAGAAAATAAAGAGAAAAAACACTGTTATATTGACATTTTCTACTAAGACGACAGACGGGTTTCAAAGTGGGAATTAAACAAGATTTTAGAAACATCAACACTAAATAGATCACGGAACAATGTATACTCGCCTCCAACCTCGCACAGATAGGTTGATGGATAGAGATTAAGCCAGCCAAGAGGTGGCACGGGCACGAATAGCCCATAAGTGGAGACAGTTCCGAGCCCTTACCAGTACCAGAAGATGCTCCCACAGACAGACAGTCTCCTCTATAGTTCCAGATATACCGGCCCTCATGACTCGTCTCCAGCGTGAAGTGCGCACCTGTCTACATGTCCCCAAGTATCACTTGCTTCTCTCCACTTATTCTCTGGACATGAACTCCAATGATGAGACCATTGAGAGAGGGAGGGGGGGGGGGGAGAGGGGGGTAAGGGTGGAGGACAACTGTAGGCGTAATGGAGGCGGCTCCCTAGAGTGGTGCGAATAGGAGGGGGGGGGGCCGTGGGAGTAGAGGGGGGCCGTGGGAGTAGAGGGGGGCCGTGGGAGTAGAGGGGGGCGTGGGGGGCCGTGGGAGTAGAGGGGGGCCGTGGGAGTAGAGGGGGCCGTGGGAGTAGAGGGGGGCCGTGGGAGTAGAGGGGGGCCGTGGGAGTAGAGGGGGCCGTGGGAGTAGAGGGGGGCCGTGGGAGTAGAGGGGGCCGTGGGAGTAGAGGGGGGCCGTGGGAGTAGAGGGGGGCCGTGGGAGTAGAGGGGGGCCGTGGGAGTGGAGGGGGCCGTGGGAGTAGAGGGGGCCGTGGGGAGTAGAGGGGGCCGTGGGAGTAGAGGGGGGCCGTGGGAGTAGAGGGGGGCCGTGGGAGTAGAGGGGGGCCGTGGGAGTGGAGGGGGCCGTGGGAGTGGAGGGGGCCGTGGGAGTGGAGGGGGCCGTGGGAGTAGAGGGGGCCGTGGGAGTAGAGGGAGCCGTGGGAGTAGAGGGGGCCGTTGGAGTAGAGGGGGGGGGGAGAGTGGAAGAGAAGAAGGGGGGTATGGGGGGGGGGGTTCAACAAAGAGGATAGGCTTATCAACGCCAGCATTTACCCCCATTCTCCCACTTATACATCCTTGTATTACATTAGAAATGCGACGTGAAATTGAAATTGAAATTGAAATAAGTTTATTGAGGTAAAATACACACAAAGGGATGAGGTGGCTCAAGCTATTCTCACCCCGTTCAGTACATCGTGTTAATACATACCTAGACACACATCACAAACAATAAACATATTACCAAACATTCTGAGAGATAAACATATACATTCCTCCTTCACAAGTAGTATGTTATCAGACGTATACACATATACTTTTATGACCGAGGTATACTGTATAGACCATTTGCAGTGCGACGTATTAGAACACGTTATAGCACTGTGTCCCGTGTGTCGCCTTGTTAGGTTAGTGGGGCTGCCTGCGTTATCACGGTAAGTTATCGTAGTAAGTTACCATGGTAAGTTATCGTGGTAAGTTACCATGGTGGTAAGTTACCATGGAGTTATCGTGGTAAGTTACCATGGTAAGTTACCATGGTAAGTTATCGTGGTAAGTTATCGTGGTAAGTTACCATGGTTATCGTAGTAAGTTACCATGGTAAGTTATCGTGGTAAGTTACCATGGTAAGTTATCGTGGTAAGTTACCATGGTAAGTTACCATGGTAAGTTACCATGGTAAGTTACCATGGTAAGTTACCATGGTAAGTTATCGTGGTAAGTTACCATGGTAAGTTACCATGGTAAGTTATCGTGGTAAGTTACCATGGTAAGGTACCGTGGTAAGTTATCGTGGTAGTTATCGTTATCGTGGTAAGTTACCATGGTAAGTGTACCATGGTAAGTTATCGTGGTAAGTTACCATGGTAAGTTATCGTGGTAAGTTACCATGGTAAGTTACCATGGTAAGTTATCGTGGTAAGTTATCATGGTAAGTTACCATGGTAAGTTACCATGGTAAGTTATCGTGGTAAGTTATCATGGTAAGTTACCATGGTAAGTTACCATGGTAAGTTACCATGGTAAGTTACCATGGTAAGTTATCGTGGTAAGTTACCATGGTAAGTTATCGTGGTAAGTTACCATGGTAAGTTATCGTGGTAAGTTACCATGGTAAGTTACCATGGTAAGTTATCGTGGTAAGTTACCATGGTAAGTTATCGTGGTAAGTTATCGTGGTAAGTTACCATGGTAAGTTACCGTGGTAAGTTATCGTGGTAAGTTACCATGGTAAGTTATCGTGGTAAGTTACCGTGGTAAGTTATCGTGGTAAGTTACCATGGTAAGTTACCGTGGTAAGTTATCGTGGTAAGTTACCATGGTAAGTTATCGTGGTAAGTTACCATGGTAAGTTATCGTGGTAAGTTATCGTGGTAAGTTACCATGGTAAGTTACCATGGTAAGTTATCGTGGTAAGTTACCATGGTAAGTTATCGTGGTAAGTTATCGTGGTAAGTTACCATGGTAAGTTACCATGGTAAGTTATCGTGGTAAGTTATCGTGGTAAGTTACCATGGTAAGTTATCGTGGTAAGTTATCGTGGTAAGTTACCATGGTAAGTTATCGTGGTAAGTTACCATGGTAAGTTACCGTGGTAAGTTATCGTGGTAAGTTACCATGGTAAGTTATCATGGTAAGTTATCGTGGTAAGTTACCATGGTAAGTTATCGTGGTAAGTTACCATGGTAAGTTATCGTGGTAAGTTACCATGGTAAGTTATCGTGGTAAGTTATCGTGGTAAGTTATCGTGGTAAGTTATCGTGGTAAGTTATCGTGGTAAGTTACCATGGTAAGTTACCATGGTAAGTTATCGTGGTAAGTTACCGTGGTAAGTTACCATGGTAAGTTATCGTGGTAAGTTATCGTGGTAAGTTACCATGGTAAGTTATCGTGGTAAGTTACCATGGTAAGTTATCGTGGTAAGTTACCATGGTAAGTTACCATGGTAAGTTATCGTGGTAAGTTATCGTGGTAAGTTACCATGGTAAGTTATCGTGGTAAGTTACCATGGTAAGTTATCGTGGTAAGTTATCGTGGTAAGTTACCATGGTAAGTTATCGTGGTAAGTTACCGTGGTAAGTTATCGTGGTAAGTTACCATGGTAAGTTACCGTGGTAAGTTATCGTGTAAGTTACCAAGTTATCGTGGTAAGTTATCAGGGTAAGTTATCGTGGTAAGTTATCGTGGTAAGTTACCATGGTAAGTTATCGTGGTAAGTTACCATGGTAAGTTATCGTGGTAAGTTACCGTGGTAAGTTACCATGGTAAGTTATCGTGGTAAGTTATCGTGGTAAGTTATCGTGGTAAGTTACCATGGTAAGTTATCGTGGTAAGTTATCGTGGTAAGTTATCGTGGTAAGTTATCGTGGTAAGTTATCGTGGTAAGTTATCGTGGTAAGTTATCGTGGTAAGTTACCATGGTAAGTTATCGTGGTAAGTTATCGTGGTAAGTTATCGTGGTAAGTTACCATGGGAAGTTATCGTGGTAAGTTATCATGGTAAGTTATCGTGGTAAGTTATCATGGTAAGTTATCGTGGTAAGTTATCGTGGTAAGTTATCGTGGTAAGTTATCGTGGTAAGTTATCATGGTAAGTTATCGTGGTAAGTTATCGTGGTAAGTTACCATGGTAAGTTATCGTGGTAAGTGGTAAGTTACCGTGGTAAGTTATCGTGGTAAGTTACCATGGTAAGTTATCGTGGTAAGTTATCGTGGTAAGTTATCGTGGTAAGTTATCGTGGTAAGTTACCATGGTAAGTTATCGTGGTAAGTTATCGTGGTAAGTTATCGTGGTAAGTTACCATGGTAAGTTATCGTGGTAAGTTACCATGGTAAGTTACCATGGTAAGTTATCGTGGTAAGTTATCATGGTAAGTTAAGTTATCGTGGTAAGTTATCGTGGTAAGTTACCATGGTAAGTTATCGTGGTAAGTTACCACGGTAAGTTATCGTGGTAAGTTACCATGGTAAGTTATCGTGGTAAGTTACCATGGTAAGTTACCATGGTAAGTTATCGTGGTAAGTTATCGTGGTAAGTTACCATGGTAAGTTACCATGGTAAGTTATCGTGGTAAGTTATCGTGGTAAGTTACCATGGTAAGTTATCGTGGTAAGTTACCATGGTAAGTTATCGTGGTAAGTTATCATGGTAAGTTATCGTGGTAAGTTTCTTGATACGTTGCGTGGTATGTTTCCATCGTAGGTTATAATAGTTATGGTCTTGGAAGATGTTCTTGGAAGATGGTCTTGGAAGATGTTCTTGGAAGATGTTCTTGGAAGATGGTCTTGGAAGATGTTCTTGGAAGATGTTCTTGGAAGATGTTCTTGGAAGATGGTCTTGGAAGATGTTCTTGGAAGATGTTCTTGGAAGATGGTCTTGGAAGATGTTCTTGGAAGATGTTCTTGGAAGATGTTCTTGGAAGATGGTCTTGGAAGATGTTCTTGGAAGATGGTCTTGGAAGATGTTCTTGGAAGATGGTCTTGGAAGATGTTCTTGGAAGATGTTCTTGGAAGATGTTCTTGGAAGATGGTCTTGGAAGATGTTCTTGGAAGATGTTCTTGGAAGATGTTCTTGGAAGATGGTCTTGGAAGATGTTCTTGGAAGATGGTCTTGGAAGATGTTCTTGGAAGATGTTCTTGGAAGATGTTCTTGGAAGATGGTCTTGGAAGATGGTCTTGGAAGATGTTCTTGGAAGATGGTCTTGGAAGATGTTCTTGGAAGATGTTCTTGGAAGATGGTCTTGGAAGATGGTCTTGGAGGGGTGGTCTTGGAAGGGAGGTCTTGGAGGGGTGGTCTTGGAAGGGAGGTCTTGGAGGGGAGGTCTTGGAGGGAGGTCTTGGAGGGGTGGTCTTGGAGGGGAGGTCTTGGAGGGGAGGTCTTGGAGGGGAGGTCTTGGAGGGGGAGGTCTTGGAGGGGTGGTCTTGGAGGGGAGGTCTTGGAGGGGTGGTCTTGGAGGGGAGTCTTGGAGGGGAGGTCTTGGAGGGGAGGTCTTGGAGGGGTGGTCTTGGAGGGGTGGTCTTGGAGGGATTGTCATGGAAGGAGGTCTTGGAGGGGAGGTCTTGGAGGGGAGGTCTTGGAGGGGAGGTCTTAGAGGGGTGGTCTTGGAGGGTGGTCTTGGAAGGGAGGTCTTGGAGGGGAGGTCATGGAGGGGAGGTCTTGGAGGGTGAGGTCTTGGAGGGGAGGTCTTGGAGGGGAGGTCTTGGAGGGGTGGTCTTGGAGGGGAGGTCTTGGAGGGGAGGTCTTGGAGGGGAGGTCTTGGAGGGGTGGTCTTGGAGGGGAGGTTTTGGAGGGGTGGTCTTGGAGGGGAGGTCTTGGAGGGGAGGTCTTGGAGGGGGAGGTCTTGGAGGGGAGGTCTTGGAGGGGGAGGTCTTGTGCCCCAATGTGTGCCCAGGTTCTCCCCAGGTGCTCTCGTGTACCACCTGGCGTGCCCAGGTGCCCTCGTGTACCACCTGGCGTGCCCAGGTGCCCTCGTGTACCACCTGGCGTACCCAGGTGTAGTACCCCCCCCAGGTGCCCTCGTGTACCACCTGGCGTGCCCAGGTGCCCTCGTGTACCACCTGGCGTGCCCAGGTGCCCTCGTGTACCACCTGGCGTGCCCAGGTGCCCTCGTGTACCACCTGGCGTGCCCAGGTGTACCCAGACGAGGCAAATATTAACTAAGAGAGAGACGCTCCTGTAGAGTTCAAGGTGTGAACCGAAGTCGCAGCACAAGAGCAGTTGAGGGAAGCCTCTTGCAAGAGGGTGCAGCTGGTGCGCGTTGCGTCACCACCACCACCAGCGCCTTGCACACTCACCGCTCGCAATGTCAAGGTTGCGCACCACCCTCGCCTGCCGCTGACGGCGCTCAGGGCGACGCTCAGGTTCATGATGCAGCAGCTGGCTATGTGCTCTTGATTGGTGGATGGCGAGAACGTGCGCTGCTGGCTGATGGATTGGGGGGGGCCTTCGGTGCTTACTTGTGCGAGCAGGTGTGTGTGTCTGGTGTCTTGGGCTGGTCCTTGTGCGAGCAGGTGTGTGTGTCTGGTGTCTTGGGCACCTTGTGCGAGCAGGTGTGTGTGTCTGGTGTCTTGGGCTGGTCCTTGTGCGAGCAGGTGTGTGTGTCTGGTGTCTTGGGCACCTTGTGAACGTGCGCTCCCTGAGTCTTGCTTCTCAGTGGCTCCAGGAGACCCTCGTCCCCAGCTGCTCACAGTTCTTGACCTAGTCCATGTGTCCAGCTGAAACTGTCAACCCCGCGTGTTGCCACTGAGAGTGTATCAACCCCGCGTGTTGCCACTGAGAGTGTATCAACCCCGCGTGTTGCCACTGAGAGTGTATCAACCCCGCGTGTTGCCACTGAGAGTGTATCAACCCCGCGTGTTGCCACTGAGAGTGTATCAACCCCGCGTGTTGCCACTGAGAGTGTATCAACCCCGCGTGTTGCCACTGAGAGTGTATCAACCCCGCGTGTTGCCACTGAGAGTGTATCAACCCCGCGTGTTGCCACTGAGAGTGTATCAACCCCGGGTGTTGCCACTGAGAGTGTATCAACCCCGCGTGTTGCCACTGAGAGTGTATCAACCCCGCGTGTTGCCACTGAGAGTGTATCAACCCCGCGTGTTGCCACTGAGAGTGTATCAACCCCGCGTGTTGCCACTGAGAGTGTATCAACCCCGCGTGTTGCCACTGAGAGTGTATCAACCCCGCGTGTTGCCACTGAGAGTGTATCAACCCCGCGTGTTGCCACTGAGAGTGTATCAACCCCGCGTGTTGCCACTGAGAGTGTATCAACCCCGCGTGTTGCCACTGAGAGTGTGGGAGAAGATGTTGATTGTATCACAGATGTGACAGGAGACCAGGAGACCATGGTCCCGGGTTCGTCAGTGTATGATGAGTTGCCAGACCGAGCTGAGGTGTAAGCTGCAGCTTAGAGGTGACTGAAGGTCGTGCACAATGACTCCTGACCCTGGGGTTGTGGGGTCTAATTCCCTGTAAAGATTTAGAACTACCGGATTTCCACCAATCATTTGCTGCTGTCAACCTCTTCAGCTGAGCTGCCAGAGTCTTATTGAAGGTGGGTTCTGAGTGTGTCTGTCTGTAATGAGTCCATACAATGTCAACAACCAATGTGTCAGCGTTTGCCTGTGTTGTTAAATGTTGTGGCCATGTATAAAACACTGTGGTGTTGTCATCAGACTAATATCACTATATCCGCTAGGTTGTGTCTCTCGTAAGGTTACTGCAAGGTTCAGCACACTCACACACTCACACACACACACACACACACACACACACACACACACACACACACACACACACACACACACACACACACACACACACACACACACACACACACACACACACACACACACACGCACACACACACACACACACACACACACACACACACACACACACACACACACACACACACACACACACACACACACACACACACACACACACACACACACACACACACACACACACACACACACACACACACACACACACACACACACACACACACACAACACACACACACACACACACACACACACACACACACACACACACACACACACACACACACACACACACACACACACACACACACACACACACACACACACACACACACACACACACACATAGTGTGTGTGTGTGTGTCTTACAGGCCAGTGTCCTTGACTTGTATACCATGCAAGGTGATGGAGAAGATCGTGAGAAAAAACCTGGTAACACATCTGGAGAGAAGGGACTTCGTGACAAATCGCCAACATGGATTCAGGGAGGGTAAATCTTGCCTTACAGGCTTGATAGAATTCTACGATCAGGTGACACAGATTAAGCAAGAAAGAGAGGCTGGGCGGACTGCATTTTCTTGGATTGTCGGAAAGCCTTTGACACAGTACCGCATAAGAGGCTGGTACATAAGCTGGAGAGACAGGCAGGTGTAGCTGGTAAGGTGCTCCAGTGGATAAGGGAGTATCTAAGCAATAGGAAGCAGAGAGTTACGGTGAGGGGTGAGACCTCCGATTGGCGTGAAGTCACCAGTGGAGTCCCACAGGGCTCTGTACTCGGTCCTATCTTGTTTCTGATATATGTAAATGATCTCCCGGAGGGTATCGATTCATTTCTCTCAATGTTTGCGGACGATGCTAAAATTATGAGAAGGATTAAAACAGAAGAGGACTGTTTGAGGCTTCAAGAAGACCTAGACAAGCTGAAGGAATGGTCGAACAAATGGTTGTTAGAGTTTAACCCAACCAAATGTAATGTAATGAAGATAGGTGTAGGGAGCAGGAGGCCAGATACAAGGTATCATCTGGGAGAGGAAATTCTTCAGGAGTCAGAGAAGGAAAAAGACTTGGGGTTGATATCACGCCAGACCTGTCTCCTGCAGCACATATCAAGCGGATAACATCAGCGGCATATGCCAGGCTGGCCAACATACGAACGGCATTCAGAAACTTGTGTAAAGAATCATTCAGAACTTTGTATACCACATATGTCAGGCCAATCCTGGAGTATGCAGCCCCAGCATGGAGTCCATATCTAGTCAAGGATAAGACTAAACTGGAAAAGGTTCAAAGGTTTGCCACCAGACTAGTACCCGAGCTGAGAGGTATGAGCTACGAGGAGAGACTACGGAATTAAACCTCACTTCGCTGGAAGACAGAAGAGTTAGGGGGGACATGATCACCACATTCAAGATTCTGAAGGGGATTGATAGGGTAGATAAAGACAGTCTATTTAACACAAGGGGAACACGCACAAGGGGACACAGGTGGAAACTGAGTGCCCAAATGAGCCACAGAGATATTAGAAAGAACTTTTTTAGTGTCAGAGTGGTTGACAAATGGAATGCATTAGGGGGTGATGTGGTGGAGGCTGACTCCATACACAGTTTCAAGTGTAGATATGACAGAGCCCGACAGGCTCAGGAATCTGTACACCTATTGATTGACGGTTGAGAGGCGGGACCAAAGAGCCAGAGCTCAACCCTCGCAAATACAACTAGGTGAGTACAACTAGGTGAGTACACACACACACACACACACACGCACACACACACACACACATGGACCGAGTCATACGGAAATGCCAGGAGGCCGAAGAGAAATTTATACCAAGAGTAAAGGTTAAAAGTAAGAGGGAATATAGTAACCCATGGTTTAATAGATAGTGTCAGGAAACAAAAGTGAGAAGCAGGAGGGAGTGGAGTAAGTACAGAAAACAAAAGACAGAGGACAACAGGATCAGATGCAACAGAGCTGGGAACGATTACATTAACATAAGAACATTAACATTAACACTCACACACACTCTCAAACTAAGAGCTGCTGTCAACACACCTCATCTGAATCCTGACCTGAAAAACTCATTTATTTGATGAGCTTAATATTAGTTTCTATTAGGTATACACTAAGTAGCTATGACGAGAGGTGGGGGATGGACCAGGCGCGACCTGTGTATGGTCGCTGGAGGTGACTTCCTACCCGTCTGTGTACTGCGAGCCAGGCGGCACCTACGCTCCTTGATGGTGTTATGGTCTAAAGAATTACCAACATGAGGCTCTTGGTGGCTTATGCTATGGTTGGCAACTTGTGGATGTGCGCCAAGTTGAGCCAGGTGGGGGAACTCTTGCCAACATTTGTCTTACCCGGCCAACGGAAACATTACCTGCTTCATTAGGCTTGTGTTGCGCTGAACAACCACGCCAACACTCTTGAGGACGTGTGAGCCAAGGCTAAAGTTGCCTCGGTGGTATCACTTCGTATTGTTGCCTTTTCAAATGGAGAGGCGATTAGGAAGGTGGTGGAGGCGAGGGTAAATCACTGGCAAGCCCCCGAGGAGAGGCAACGACGGCAGGCAGGGAGGGCAGGCAGGCAGGGAGGGCAGGCAAGCAGGCAGGCAGGCAGGCAGGCAGGGAGGAGGGCAGGCAAGCAGGGCAGGGCAGGCAAGCAGGCAGGCAGGCAGGCAGGGAGGGCAGGCAAGCAGGCAGGCAGCAGGCAGGCAGGGAGGGTGCAGGCAGGCAGTTAGGGGGCAGGC